CGCTTGCAGGGATTTTTGACCCTAATGGCCAGCCGTTGGTAAGGTCTTACTCGAATAAAAAATGCCACTTGCTTGCAATGATTTAGGTATGTACTGCCCCCCTATCGCCAAGGAAAATACACACTGTCACTTTAAGGTAACACTAGGCAGTTTCCTGTTCCTCCGCAGTTGAAAGTGAATTTCAAACTGTTGCTGCGGCCTTCTGTAGCTTGTGCTTACAACAAGCTAACACCATCAGTCTGTGGGTGTTTCTCAATGTCAAGGCAGGAAGGCACCTTGCTTACGAGGGCACTGTCCTTCCTTGGTCAAAGAAAATGGTTAAATGGAACAGACTTACCGTGCGTGACCGTGGCTCCGAGCCATCACGTCACATCACGTGACACGTGAGGTTAAGTTATATTTTATACATTTCAGTATAGATATATAAAGAGCATTTTACTTTTAAATTGTGTTTATATTTGTTAAATTAAATATGTAAGCATGTTAGTACCTGCTAGCTACCAAAGCTGCAACTGCTGAGCAACTAACCGACCATAGATACCACTTTGGATCTAAAAATAACATTTTAGATATAAGTCCGATAGCTACAATTAAACTGGAAATTTGCCCCTGAAGTAGCTGCTGGCTCCTCGCCATCCATTAAAAAATATCGCACTGTATTCTGAGAATTTCAGACTGAGAGAAGGCAACTAGGACACCTCCAATGTATCCTTGGTCAGTTAGCTAAACGGCAGACAAATGGAGGTCAGTTGGGAGCAGTTTTGCCTTGAATATTGCCATAGCTAGACTAAGATGCACATGTAAACACACTGACTGGGAGAGGGGTACAGCTGGCTGGGTCACCATTCCATCGCAGGGTTATAAAGAAAGATGCAACCTTGCATATGCATATTGTGGGCGGTGGTGGCACAGGAGTTAAGTGCTCGCCCCGTAATCGGAAGGTTGCAGGTTCTGTCGCTGTCATTGTGTCCTTGGGCAAGACACTTAACCCACGTTGCCTGCTGGTAGTGGTCGGAGGGACCGGTGGCACTTGTGCTTGGCAGCCTCACCTCTGTCAGTGCGCCCCAGGACACCTGTGGCTACATCGTAGCTCATCCCCACCAGTGTGTGAATGTGTGTGTGAATGGATAAATGACTGATTGTGTTGTAAAGCACCTTGGGGGGGTTCCAGGACTCTAGAAGGCATTACAGGTGCTGGCCAGTAAATTAGAATATCATCAAAAGGTTGAAAATATTTCAGTAATTCCATTCAAAACGTGAAACTTGTACATTATATTCATGCAATGCACACAGACCAATGTATTTCCAATGTTCATTACATTTAAATCTGATATTTATAGGTGACAACCAATGAAAACATCAAATCTGGTATCTCAGAAAATTAGAATATTCTAAAGGCCAATGAAAAAATGTTTGTTTCTCTAATGTTGGCCAACTGAAAAGAATGAACATGAAAAGAATGTGCATGTATAGCACTCAATACTTAGTTGGGGCTCCTTTTGCCTCAATAACTGCAGTAATGCGGCGTGGCATGGACTCGATCAGTCTGTGGCACTGCTCAGGTGTTATGAGAGCCCAGGTTGCTCTGATAGTCGTCTTCAGCTCCTCTGCATTGTTGGGTCTAGCGTATTGCATCCTCCGCTTCACAATACCCCATAGATTTTCTATGGGGTTACGGTCAGGCGAGTTTGCTGGCCAATCAAGGACAGGGATACCATGGTCCTTGAACCAGGTGCTGGTGGTTTTGGCACTGTGTGCAGGTGCCAAGTCCTGTTGAAAGGTGAAGTCTGCATCCCCATAAAGTTGGTCAGCAGCAGGAAGCATGAAGTGCTCTAAAACTTCCTGGTAGACGGCTGCATTGACCCTGGACCTCAGGAAACAGAGTGGGCCAACACCGGCAGATGACATGGCACCCCACACCATCACTGACGGTGGAAACTTTACACTGGACCTCATGCAACGTGGATTCTGTGCTTCTCCGCTCTTCCTCCAGACTCTGGGTCCTTGATTTCCAAAGGAAATGCAGAACTTGCTTTCATCAGAAAACATAACTTTGGACCACTCAGCATCAGTCCAGTCCTTTTTGTCCTTGGCCCAGGCGAGACGCTTCTTGCGCTGTTTCTTGTTCAAGAGTGGCTTGACACACGGAATGCGACACCTGAATCCCATGTCTTTCATGAGTCTCCTCGTGGTGGTTCTTGAAGCGCTGACTCCAGCTGCAGTCCACTCTTTGTGGATCTCCCCCACATTTTTGAATGGGTTTGTCGTCACAATTCTCTGCAGGGTGCGGTTATCCCTAGAGCTTGTACACTTTTTTCTACCACATTTTTTCCGTCCCTTCGCCTGTCTGTTAATGTGCTTGGACACAGAGCTCTGCGAACAGCCAGCTTCTTTAGCAATCACCTTTTGTGTCTTGCCCTCCTTGTGCAAGGTGTCAATGATTGTCTTTTGGACAGCTGTTAAGTCAGAAGTCTTCCCCATGATTGTGGTGCCTTCAAAACAAGACTGAGGGACCTTTTAAAGGCCTTTGCAGGTGTTTTGAGTAAATCAGCTGATTAGAGTGGCAGCAGGTGTCTTCTATATTCAGCCTTTTCAGAATATTCTAATTTTTTGAGATACCAAATTTGGAGTTTTCATTAGTTGTCACTTATGAATATCAAATTTAAATGTAATGAACATTGGAAATACATTGGTCTGTGTGCATTGCATGAATATAATGTACAAGTTTCACGTTTTGAATGGAATTACTGAAATATTTTCAACCTTTTGATGATATTCTAATTTACTGGCCAGCACCTGTATATCAAATGCAGGCCATTTACCATATGCTCATGCACAAGGTTGTTTTAAAGTTTCCAGTTAACACCTATGTTTTTGGTTTGCAGGAAGAAAACAAGAATATAGAAAAAGATACAAAATTCACACAAAAAAGTACTTTGCCAGGAAACAAGGGTCTTCTTGCTGCAAGGCAACCGTGCCAACCAGTCACACCTCCGTGAAGGCCAAGTTTAGTCACTCTCTCCAATTTGTGGTCTTGTTGTTGCAGCTTGGTGATCAAGATGGCGCCAGTGTTGCCGGCTTGCCGTCTGTCAGCTGCTCTACTTTTTGTATTTTTATTGTTTTTAGCCTATGTGTTACAACCCGCTCACCCGAGATTGGTGTATGATCGTCATTCGCTTTTTAAAGTAGGTTTTTCGACTGGATTTTTACCGTCTGAAGCTGTTGAGCACCGGAATACTTCCTCTCCCCTCTACCTGGACGGCCTTTCGGCGTGCTGGGAAACACCGCCATTTACGCACTCTGCAAGGAGGAAACGTAGGAGGAGAGTCTGTCTGGGTAGACAGCTCATAAAGCTGAAAACATTGAAGCTTGCCTCATCTGGCGGTTCGCGAGTGGTCTTGTGTTCGTCCACTCGGTTCCTGGCGTCGTGGCATGCGGTGGATCCGGTGGATCCGTGGCTCGTTCCTGTTGCCGGCAATTCATGGGAGTTTGGCAAGCACTCCCCACCCTTTCGGAGATTCAGTCGGAGACGATCCGATCTGAGGAATCTCCGATCATTGACTAGAGCTTCTTCCACCATCCACAGTTCTGAAGTATCCTTAAGGTGGGGCCTGGTCAATGCTAGGTCTGTGGCTAACAAAACATTCATTGTGAATGAATTATTTACAACGCTTGTTCTCGACATCCTCTGTGTGACGGAGTCATGGATTCTTCCTGGTGAGTCCGCTGTTTTTAATGAACTGATCCCAGCAGACTGTGCCTTTATTAATGTGCCGAGGACCACTAAACGTGGCGGTGGATTGGTGGTTATTTATAAAGCTAATCTGAAGATGAAACATTTGCAGTCCTGGTCTCCTAATACCAGTTTTGAAATGTGCTTATTCGAACTTGGTCATCCGCAACCTGTGCTGTAGTATATAGACCCCCGAAATACAATACGTTTTTTTTCCAAGTTAAGAAAAGAGGCAGACGTGTTTCCTAAATCCTGCATCAGTCCAAGCAAAGCAACTTCTTTCTGTTTTTATTCAGTTTTAGTAGTCATTAGCACTGTGCATTGTTGTGTGTGTCAGTGATATTCAGTCTACGAGGAAGTCGTGCAATGACAAAGGTTCCGCCGTGCTTGAAATACAAGCTGCGATTAAATGCGTTAATTTTTTAATGCGTTATTTTTTTCTAATTAATTAATCGTAATTAACGCGTTAAAGTCCCGGCCCTAATACATTATATATATATATATATATATATATATATATATATATATATATATATATATATATATATATATATATATATATATATATATATATATATATATATATATATATATATATATATATATATATATATATATACATATTAAGAGTTTCCCTTAAATGTAGTTCATGAGATACTTTTACAACAATTACACACACACACGCTTACAGAGACAAAAACATCATAGTCCACCTGTCAGCAGTGGGTGAAAAAAGAAGTTTTAAATGTAGGTTCTGTACTAAAGGAGAACGTCTTCCTGGACAAGTAGAAGACAGTTTAATGAGAATTAGATGAGCATCCTGAAGTTAAAACTGACCAGTAAAAACTGATGAGGAAGCAGAAATTATTCCACAGGAGAAGTAAAAGCATTACAAGCCACAGGGAATTGCTACATTAGAAGTTCACTGGCTAAAAACACAAGTTAGGATATCTAAACTCTCCAGTGAGAGGTTTTGTCAACCCAGAGGGAAAGCACATGTCAATATATCAACTATCTAATTACCACACTTGTTGGTTCAGCATGTTTCCACGTGGGGGAGACGTGCTCCTCCCTATTCCTACAGTCTTTTTTGTTCCAATTCATTATCCACAAAAATGTTGAAATACTTAAATGTTTCCTGTTTGGAAAGGTGATGCAAAAATCCAGAATTCTCTTGAGACACAGAAAGGCAAAGGCAGGAAAAGAAGCAGATGTGTATAAAGAAGGGGCATGGAGAGGAAAATGACTTCCAGGAGAAGAACTTAAAGTGGCTGGAGGAAAGGAAAAGCAAAGAGGACTGACCTCTCACTGTAGCATTTCAGCTGTTTGTCATCTCTTTTCCTAGCGTGGATTGATCACAACAATATCTGCTCTGAGGGGGCAGAGAGAGGAGACGGAGGAGGGGAAAAAAGCAGTAAACCTTGGCTCAATTGAGAAAAAAGCATCTGTGAGTGTGTGTGAGAGAGAGAGTAGAGGAGAGAGAAAAGGTAAGGGAGAGGAGGAGTGAGGCACCCTGTTCTTCCAAGCAAAGCAACCAGAAGAAAACAGAAAAAAAGAAGAAGGGAGCATTAAAAGTAGAAGAAGGAGGAAGAAGAGTTGTCCCGACATGGGGCTGTGTGCTGTTTTCCTCATCTGTCTTTCCCAGGCAGAGTTGGGTAGAGTCTGGGCTCAAGAGCACAAAGGTAAGATCATTCATTTCACCATATTGGAAAACTGCAATTTAAAAAAACGTTGTCAAAAAATGTAGTCAAATACTGCAGAAAGAGGGCTAGGGTTTGCTGCAAATGTCTTTGAAGGTTGGAAAATGACCTGACCTGAATTCTCGGCCTCAGTCTTTGGCAGCAGGCACACTCATAATACATTTCTGGCACTTTCCGTGTTTGAATTACAAATGTTTGTATCTGTAGGAGCATGTGGTTACTTGAAAAGCTGTCAGGTCTTATTACAATCCTCTCTGTCACTCACAGGGAAGCACATTAATGTTTGTGTAAAAGGTTGGGATGTCTCCAAAACCACTGTCATTTCACAAAATCTAAAATAATTCAAGATTTTTTTTTTACTTTGGCCATTAAATGTTTGAGGTTAACCAGATGTTGATGTAAAGAGTTGTTCACTGCAAAAGACGAAAGCTCATTTAGAAAATGATGAGGATTTGAATGTATTTTGCCTACTTTTATGCCAGAATGTGCATCTTTTTTATATGTTCCTTACATGTATATTTTAAAGCACTTATACCATTTTGTCCGTGTCTTCATGTGTCTACATGTGCATGTATGTATTTCTGTTCTCCTTGGAGATGCATTATTTTTAGGTAGCCCCCGTTCTTCTGTTGCTGTTCCTCCTCCGACAATCAGCGGTGCTCCAGTTATTTTGGCCTCTCCTGTGGTCCCATCCTCTGATCAAGGGCCTAGCTCTGCAGAGGATGACCCAATGCACCACAGAGACAGATTCATCCTTGCATATGTCTAATTGAAGTCCAGAAGAATCTCCATCCTCGTCTAGCCGTCTGCTTGTCCCCTTTAAACTTGTTCCCTAGTTTGATTGATTTTATGAATTCATATTTTGGGCCTGAGGAGAACAGATAGTGAAAGAGAACAGAGCAAGTTGTGTGGTAACTTGCTGCATTTTCAAACATTCGAATCTAAGAACAGTCCTGTACTTCCTCAGGACTGAACACAGACTGCTAAATCTCTTTTACAGAGGTTGCACAAAAGTGATAGTAAGGCTGTCCTTTTTTTCTTCCCCAAAAGGAACAAAACATCAAGACTGAATGAACATCTGCAATTGATTGGCACAAAATTTGACCAGAATGCAGCTTCACACTAAACCTCTGTGCTTATTTTGCCTACTGTTTAAATCAGTCTGGTGATTCAGCTGAAACACACGACCCGCCCATGAAACCTGGGCAAAACCGGTGAGACCGGGCTTCCAAACATCCCACTTTGCAGAATGGGATCAGGCCGTGAGTTGGAATCTGTTTGTGGAAATGCTTATTCAATATGGAATTTATTTGGAGAAGTTGTTAGGGTTGGTGGTGAACGTCACGCTGAAGAATTTGAGGTTGCACTGCTCTCAACTAAACGCTGACATCTGCCCTGGAGTGTGCTGAAGATTTTAAAAGACATGTAACACAAATATTTACAGCAGGCTACCATTTGCATATCAGCGGTGATGAAGACCATCTTAGGCGGACAAGAATTCCATTTGTTTTGCAGATGTTTAGTCATGAATCAAAGTTTCTGACAAAGAAAACATGCATGTGGAATTGGCAGAAGATGAGGTTCATTATTTAAGATTCATCCTGTTTATGGTCTAAATTAAAGCCGGGTAAGAAGCTATTACACATCTGAATGATACACAAAAAGTTAAAAATGCATATCTAAAGTTAACAGATTACAACGAAAATCTAACTAATCACCCGAAGTGTGGACTCGAGTCACATGACTTGGACTTGAGTCAGACTCGAGTCATCATTTTAATGACTTCTGACTTGATAAAATCTTTAAAGACTTATGACTTGACTCAGACTTGAACACCAATGACTTGCGACTTGAATCAACTTGCATCTGTTGACTTGATGAAGACTTGAGCATATTTGTTATTTTAGCACAAAAGTGGCACGACATGGACAAAAATCATAAATCATTCTTCGTTCTGGGTTTGATCTTGTACTGCTAAATGCAGCACCACTTATAAGTGACTATAATCAATTTCAGTTGCACTTTCTGCTTGTTTGAGCAAATAAATGAAGCTTTATTTCTGGAATTTCTTTAGTATCATTGTCAAAATTAAATGTAAATTGAAGTTGGACAGATGACTTGATTATGACCTGAAAATTCTAAGTTAACTTGTGGAGTAAAATAACAGGAATTTCTGGGCCAAGCCCATCCTATTTCATAGACACATCTTTGGCGTTTATAACAAATCAAACCTTTTGAAAATCGGTTGAAAATTGAGCAAGTTAGAATTGTTTAAATAGTACATGCACCATACACCCCAATGTCAAGAAAGGGGGCAGCTGTCTGAGATAAGACGGCTGCCACGTGCCTACGTCGCATCCCATTGGCGAACAGCGGGGACGAGACATCTAGTGTTCACATCTATGGTGTTTCCTTCCAACTGTCGCTGACCAAGCTCATCCCTAAATGGGTCTGATATTCTAAAGGGTCGTGCCCTGTTTCAGCAGGAATATAGATTTTGTCATACACCATAAGTCATTTTAGAATAGTGTGAGAAGTCTAACCACATGTTAGATGTGTGAATTTGGCTACACATTCTGCATATCTTGAGTCAATCCAGCATTTGAAGAATGTGCTGCACAAGTATGCCCAATCCATAAACACTGAGAGGTCCAGAGAAAACAACCTAAGACCTAAGGAGTAGACAGTGATGGCTTGGTGCTATTTATTTTAGAATAACTAGAAAAAAATTTTATCAGCCAGAAAGCAACACTTTCCAATTTTCTTAATGTGTTCTCCAGCAGTTCTTATTTATTTAGCAACGCTTGGTTATAAACACTTTTACTTTATTCAAATATTTGTTAATTGTCAAAAAGACGTTCAGAAAAAATCTGAAAAGAATGTGTTTAAATTAATTTTGATTGTTAAATTAAAATTTTACAACACAAAAACATACAATAACATCACCGGTATTAAATTTTACTCCAACAAATATAAATAACTCAATTTCAGTTGTTGAACCACCAAAAGAGCTGCCAAATGTGGTTATAAAAGTAACAGCTGTTTGATGTTTGAACCACTGCGGTTTGACATAGGGTCCGATAATCTTAATGTTGCAAGACAATAAATCATAGAACTGTCAAACTAAGACTCGTTTACGATCAACAAGATATTTGATGTGTTTTAGCGTAGGTCCCTATTTTCATCTCTTCTTATAAAAATAAATTCTGGAGATGTCTTTCAAAGCAGATAGTTACATATTCTGCCCATCTGCTAACTGGAATCACACCACCAATGTTAAAAATGGAAAATCCTTTCCAAATGTAAATATGAAACGTCTTCAGTGTAGGATCATCCATCATTTAAATCTAACAGCTTCTAAGCTCTACACGTGATTGATCTGCACATCTGAAAGCTACATTTTTCCATTTCATTGTGTTTTCTTATCACTCCAGCTGCCAGTGTTTGGGATTATGTGTTGTGGTTACTGCTGTTTCATAGGATAAGGAGCCAAATTGCTTCCACCCACATCATAAGCTCCAAACTGATTTTTTAAATCCAAATTCAATAAAAACTGTGTGTGAAAGTCTCAGTAATATAATTTACCAAGTTGTGAAACATGCAGGCGTGTCACTAATCCCTGACTCCAGACAAAAAGAATAGACACAACTACAGGGGTCAAGACTTTCATTTGAGACTGAATCCTTTCTCATTGGCAGCCTTTGGCTGATATGTAATAGTTTTGTTCCTTGTTCAAAGACACACGTTATTTTTTATATTTTTTTATTTCTTCTTTCCATCCACAACAAAGATCTTCCCTCCATCCCCTTGCTGTTCCCTGAACTCTAATTTCTGCATGTGCATTTACTCAAAGCAGATTATTTTAAGGGAATACATTATTTTTATCACTAAAGGGTGAAAGTCAGGTTTGTTTGTCTGCAATGTTGGCAAACCACCGAGTAACCACCAGATGGAAATTTTTAATGAAACTCTCAGAAAGTCATCATTAGATGTACTTCTACAATGTTTTTGTCAACCCAATTTATGGTAGCAACTTTAGCTACTAAACAGTCGATGGTTTTACAGAAGTTAAACTAAACGTTTTGACATGAGATATACTGGTCATGCAGTAACGCAAATGCCTGTGGGTTGTATTACCACTCCACTCCACTAGAGGCAGGAGTTGACTGTCACGCTGGGTTGAGTTGTTCTGCTTCTGAGATACAACATGCTAAGAGATCAGAATGAAGTTATGCTTTGAGTGGAGCTCCATTTTTATAGTAAAGACACCACAATGCATTACAGTAGTTGAGAATCAACCAAAACCTTTTAGAGTTAACTGATTGTCTGAGATCAGGCATGACCCTTTGCACCTATGTCACGTGATAACATGGGTCTGCCATAGTGGACATCAACAGTGAATTACAGGAGCATTGAATGTAGGCTATAAGTGGCAACTGAGGTTGTTTTTTAGTCACTTTAGCCAAGCTTCTACTAGTTCAAGCCCAGTTCACCTGTCAGAAGATTCAGCTCACCTAAGTGGAGCTCACTGAAAGATGTATTTACAAAAGTGTGAGTTAACTAGCTTATGAAGTGGCTCTTACATTCTCCCTGCTGAAGTGTTAACTGATCTTATCAAGTTGCCAACTTTGCCAGAATTTAACTCAGCACAATTTAAAACTTCATGTGGTAAAGAGCATTCCCTTCATACTAGAGCGGATTTAAAACGCCTAAAAAGTCCAGATCCCTACTAGGGTTTATTGCTGGCTGGGTCCAGCTGGACCAGCTGCTGCTCACACTGCGGGGGCAAGATATCGATAATAGAGAAGCTCATGCTATCTGAATAATGTAACTTTCACACATGCATTCCTGCAATCGAACAATATTATGAGTATACTGTAGCAATTAACTGAACGGTACGCACATCCTCTAAAGTGAAATTTTGGTTTATGGATACTAAATAAAGAAGGCAGGTGAAACAAAAAAATGAATATGGTGCAAAA